AAACTAGAAAGAAAATTGAAAGTCCAAATTTGAAGAATTGATAATATATATTCGGTCGATTTTATGAATTAAAAATGTTTATCGTTTGTATTATTGAGTATAACTTAATCGGTATGAGTGTATACGAAGCAACGTATATTCACCTAAATCATAATTTTAATCCGAGGATTGCGAGTATTAGTATAGGCATTACAGATAACAACTTTCATTAAAACGTATTTCCAACTTGTGCATTGACAAGTATTTATCTATTTCAATTTATTATCACTTTTATTGAACTTGTGCATTATTGAGCTGAGTACAAAATACTTAACAAATATCTTTTTTCTTTTTTGTTCACGCTAATACCAAACATAAAGTTATTTATCGTATATATTTCTTAGAATTTCCTACATAGATAGAATACCTATAGAATTTAATAGAGATAGAAATAATGAAGATTAGAAATTTAAGTTTATATTAATGATCTTCCTCGTTAAGCGAACGCCGTACAGTAGTAGATCGGCATATAACTTTCACATTGTCTTAAATTTCCTGATATTAATGTTACGTTCTTCATTTCGATGCAATTTTTGTGATCCTCGAATGATCCGTCGCGACCTTCGTGTCGTGTCTTCAACATGAACGGTATATTACTCGAGAAGATATCGGCTTTCCTTGGCCAAGGGAAAGGAAGAAGAAGAGTAAAAGATCGAGACGATAGAGGGATTCGATAGGGGGTCCCCGATATATCGGGCCCCGTTGCTCGAGCGACGGCCACGATTGTGCGAGTTCCGATGCTCGCACCCTACGCACTCATACACTCATGCAACGTCCTCTTCTCTCGATATTTGATTTCTTTTTTTTTTCCTTTTTTTTTATCTTTTCTCTCTCTCTCTCTCCCTCTCTCTCTCTCTCTCTCTCTCTCTTTCTCTCTACGAGATCTCCTAGAAAAAAAAAAAAATAAATATACGGACGAGTGACGGTGCTATTGTACTCATGAGAAATCCAATGTACCAGTATCGAGAGATACTTGAAACTATGTCCTCGTATTTCAACAAGTTTTTCATCTGTTACAAATTGCCTTGATAGATATTTTTGTCCTGGTCAACGTATTTTAACGATATTTTTCCTATCGTAGCATCGAAAAGTGGATGACTTTTTTTTAGGTCGAAGGTAACAAGAAAAAAAAAAAAAGAAAAAGAAGAAGATCAGAAAGGAAAGAAAAGAATAATTTTAATTTAGCCCATGAATTTCTTTTAATTTTGAAAATAGTCGAACGATTGTAAAATTTTCTAAAGTACCTTAAGTATAGATATCTCTCTCTCTCTCTCTCTCTCTCTTTTCGTATGACACGTGGTCTTCACCTGCCCAAAACTTAACCGTTTTCGTTGCTTTCAAGGAAGACGAGATTAACGAATTTCGATAAGATTAGAAGGTGATACGTGATCGAGCTGATGGTTACGATGGAACTCTCCGACGATCGTTGGTTAGTCTTCGACTTTGGGACGTGTGTTTTCGAATAGATAAGAAACTTTTCGGATGTATCCATAGTTGATTTTTTTTTTCTTTATTTTCTTCATTGTTAGGATAAATGGGAAACAAAAATAATCATTGTTGACTATATACATTTAAGTTTTCATAGATTTATCTAATGGACGATAATCTTAATGAATGTAAGTTTGATTGATTAATCCAGTTGTAAACGACTAGCGTGTCTAGAAGAAGTTGGATTCTTTTTTTAGATTAGAGGATTTCCCCTTTTCCCCTCCTTCCTCTATCTCTCTCTCTCTCTCTCTCTCTCTCTCTCTCTCTCTCTCTCTCTCTCTCTCTCTCTCTCTCTCTACATCCATCTCTATCTTACTTTCTAGTCTGCGAATTAACAACGTCGTAATCTCGTAATCTCGTATTCGGTCAAAGTCTCAGTGATAGTTCAACGTTCGTTATCTTCAGGAAGGTCCTCTTCTTATCTTTCTTCGTTTCGACGTACAAAAATTGGTGCTTAGATATACCAGAGAGAGAGAGAGAGAGAGAAAGAGGAAAAAAAATAGTTTCTTTTATTATTCTACAAAAATCGTAGGAAGTGTCTTGTTTTTTCTTTTGTTTTTCTTTTTTTTTCCTTTTCTCTCATTGGTTTTTTTTTTCATTCGTTTTCATAATTTCGTCGTAGGGTAAAAAACATACGTAATAAATATTCAGTCGATTACATGCTAGCGTGATATCACGAATGGATATTGAATCAAATCGTTATCAAAAGAATCGTCCGAAGTGCAAGAGGAAGAAACGCATATAGACACGTATAGATGTGCGTAGGTATTGATGAAAATAAAAATATATTATTCAAATAATCCGAATCGAATTGGCAGAATAATCGTAAAGATAATCGCAACGATAAACTCTGATCGATCCCGTCGTATTTTGAGTGGTACATGATCGATCGATGCTGCAACGATAATCGTCCAAATTTGACCGACGATTTTCACCATATTTCTTTTTTCTTTTTTTTTTTTTTTCTTCCGAAGATAATACATATTGTAAATATTAGAAAGAAAAAAAAAAAATCGTGATAATTATTTGAACGGTTCTCGTAATGCGCGGAACAATAACGGATTTTTATTTTTATCTTTTCTCTTGATATTTATTGATAGCATTTGTCTTTTATAGATTGTAACATGGTACTCGATCGTTATATAGACCATCGGATTAAATAATGATATGTAAATAAGAGAATAAAAATTAGCCGATAAGAGAGTGCACCGAATTTCCGCAAAAGCGGAAATCTCTCTATACGGGCAAAAGGAAAAAAAAAAAAAGAAAAAAAATAAATAAAATAAAACAGAAAAAGAAAAAAACGGAACAAAAATGTTCGTTGAAAATCAATCGCTGGATACACGGGCGCATTCCGGCAACAGTAATCTTATCCAACGGCTCCCTTACTCATTATCTTATCAGCTATCGTTTTCGAGTATTTTATTTGCTCTCTCCTTGGAGAGGACAATTTCCGTGGACTCCGTTTTGCGAATGATAAGGAAAAAAAAAAAAAAAAAAGAAAAAAAAAAGAAAAATAAAAAAAAAGAAAAAAAATATCGCCTACCGAAACCAAATTAATCCTATCAATCAACGATCATCCTTTTCTTTTTTTTTTTTTTTTTTTTTTACTTCTCAATAGATATCTATCTCTTACAAAATGAATTAATACCAATTACAATCCGAAATTATTTCCTTCCTTTTTTTTATATCTATTAATATTTCACACAAACTTTTTTCATGAATTTATTATTATTATTTAATTTGCTGGTTGCGATGGTTATCGTTGCGATTGTTTATAGTTCCAAGGTTAGTACTTGTATCTTTCTTCCTTTCGTGTCGCATCGTTGAAAGAATTGGTTCGATATTTTGAAGGGGGCGAGTGGGTCGAAGAGGGACTTTTCTTTCTCTCTCTCTCTCTCTCTCTCTCTCTCTCTCTCTCTCTCTCTCTCTCTCTCTCCCTCTTCGCTGTTTCTCCCTCGTTTGATTGCGTCACCGATGACCTTGATCGGCTACGAGTTTATTGATAAATCGTTTTGTGCCACTTTATCGTCGAGTACCTCAGTGTGTTACCACTAAAGCACTGATCAGGTAGCAATTAAGGAAAGATCTTCCCTTTTATCGGTTTCGTCACGTATTTTCAAGACTTTCCGTTTCATTTTTATCCGGTAGGTAAATTTAGTTTATTAATTTTTTGTTTTGTTTTTTAAATCTCGTCAGAGTTTTCTTTTAAAATTCGTTGAAGAGGAATTATTGATCATTTTTATAGATAGCTCTAGTATGAATTCTTCGTACGAATTCTATGTCCAAGAGTGAAGTACGGTCGAGATATATCTATCAAGATATTCGAAAATCGATAGAAAATAATATTATCATTGTGAAAATAATATTAACGATTAATAACGTTAAAATAATTTGGTAGCATCATTACCACTAGAAGGATCAGTGATAATAATGAATATCGTCGATTAACGGTACATAATGAGGGGGGTCGAGAAAACGTTTCTTCTTACAATGTAATCGAGTATGGTTTGCCAGTGAGAGACCCATTGGGAGTCCGTAAAGACTATGACAAATTATTTATAGCCGTCGATAAAGGTGGTATAAATCTTGGTTCGCGTAGTTCGCGACTCGATTCTCACGTATCGAGTTCCTTGTAATTTACGAGACGATATCTCTCTTTCTCTTAAGCCGTTGAAGAAAGTGACAGAGAAAAAGCAAGTACACGGTGGTAGAGAATAAACTTTAACAAGTTAAATATCTAAAAGAGAAAAGTCCAATGGAATAATGACGCGTTGAAAGTTACGCGAGGGAGATCGCGAAAGCCGTGGATTGTTTTTAATTAATCGAATTTGAAAATTGACAGGAAGAAATAAAAATAAAAAAGTGAGACAAAGACAGAGAGCAAGCGGAGTTTTGAAAATGGGATTCATACGTCAGATTGAGAAAATCGTTAGATAAAATCTATGATCGAGGAGGGATCGACAAGATCTCGCGATAGGTATAGGGTTCTATCAGCACCATAAACCAATAACCATCTTTTCTCGATTGTTTCAGCGTGCGCCGAGGCAGGAACAACGATTACATCGATCGAGGAAACCTCCTCTACCAATCTCTCCGTCTCTTTTCCTCTATCCTGAGTGATTCAATCACAGGATTACCTATGAACTCGATGGCCGTCGGGTGGACCAAGCTAGCGAAAGAGAAGATGCATCATTGGCAGCTCTCTTAATCCTTTTCTTCTTCTTCTTCTTCTTCTTCTTCTTCTTCTTCTTCCTTTCTCTATCGTCTTTTCTCTGATCATTCTATCTCTCTTTCTCTTTCTCTTCCTCAATCCCTTCTTTTTTTCTCTCTTTCTCTTTCTTTCTCTTCCTTTCTATCTTTCGGTTTCTCTCTCGGTTTGACGCGAGAAGAGAATCGTGAGAGAATCGAGCTTCCTTAAGAGGAGGAGGAGGAGAGGAGGAGGAGGTGGTGGTGGAGGAGGAGGAGGAGGAGGAGGAGGAGGAGGAGGTGGAGGATAAGGGGAATAAAAAAGAAAGAAAATTTCGGAGACAAAATGGACATGAGCAGCGAGTCGAGTGCGGCTAGGTGGTACGAACCACCTCGGACGTCCCTGGAGCCGCCCTCGGCGGCGGCCGCCGGGGTGGCCGGAGTCGTGGGCAATCCCACCGACTACAGGGGTTACTACCCCCATGCCGGACCCACCGCCCACCACCCCGCCGCCGCGGCGGCGCACTACGCCCACAGTGAGTACCGACCATCTTCTCTCTTTATCTCTCTCTTTCTCTCTTATCTTATTCTTTTCTATTTTCTTCATTATTTATGCCTTTTCTGTCTATCTTTCTTTTTTTTTTCTTTCAATTTTTTTTTCTTCCTCTTTTTTTTCTTTTTCTTTTTTTTTTTTATTTTTTTTTTCTTCACCGTTCTACAATTCGCACATTGACTTTGAGGAATTTCACGCGACTTTCATAAAAGTCTTAAGTATCGCCTTTTTTTTGCCCCTCTTTTCTTTTTAATGTAGATACAAACGAGTACCGTGTAATAGTTCGATTTATTGAACGGCCATTTGAAATACTTGGGAGACCTGCATTCTTGGATACACGCCATGTATTATTCATATTATGTCATAATTATACATTGTGTATCCAGGTGGATATTGCTGATAGCTGACTGGGAATTGACAATGCATTTAGCGATTTCTTCTTTTTCCTTGTGGTAGTTCGCGTGTAATGAGATATCTCTATTAAGTTAGGTGTGATCCTAGGGATTTAAGAGAAAGAAAAGAAATCTTTTGATTAGGTGTCGAGTGTATATATTTGTTGTTGGGAAAATTGCGATGTTATAGAGCCGTTCCCTTTTTCTCTCTCTCTCTCTCTCTCTCTCTCTCTCTCTCTCTCTCTTTCTTTTTTTTCTTGAATAACCACTCGTAGGTATTTTAAGATAGAAGAAGAGATATCTACTCTTTGTTTCTCTTGTAAAGAAAATTACGAAAGGCAACGACGTGTTAAATATATTACACGAGACTAAAGCCCTGAGCGTATACATACGTACCCCTCCTTCATCGTCGTGTCGAAGAAAGTTATCAAAGAAGAGCGCGTTGATATGTGCGACCTAGCTTCACGCGAGATAGGTGGTGGTAGTTTTAATCCCTCCGGCTAGGGAATAGAAAAAAAAGTCTCTCGGTTCAACGACCAGCTGCGACGAAACGGTGTCGTCCCTTCTGGTACTCGCTAATTAAGATATTAATGTTTCATCGAGGATAAGAGAGAGAGAGAGAGAGAGAGAGAGAGAGAGAGAGAGAAAGACTTTTCATTTCAATTCATTTGTTAATTACACGTTATCAAAACACTAGGAATATATTCGCGACATAAGTACCCACTTAATTGTTTAGAATTGGAATTAAGTGTAGCGCAGAAAAATAGGGAACGACTTTTTCGAAGCGAGAAAAAAAGAAGAAGATGAAGAAGAAGAAGAAGAAGAAGAAGAAGAAGAAGTGAGTTGGCTCGACAAAAAGAGATAGAGGAGAAGTAACGAAAAAGCAAAGGAGGTGAGGAGGGGGTGGAGGTAGGAAACTTGATCCAGCCGGTTAGATCGTCGAGGGCCTGGAACGCGATATCCCTGATTCGTGCCGACGTGCATGGATCATACTCGGGCCTCTGTTACCTCGCGCTGCCCAAAAAACGACCGTCCTAATCGGAATCAAATCTCTTTCTCTCTCTCTATCTCTCTCTCTCTTCTTTACTCTTTTTATCTTTGCGAGGAAGATTTCCATGATTTCAGGCCTGCACTTGCTTCAAAACACACACACGCGTGTGCATACACACACATACACATGATCTTACGTTAATTCCTTTTCGCGAATCTGATTTCCAAGAAATGATTTTTATCTTTTGAATCTGTTTCCGTTATGTTGAATCACTTTTCATTACAATATTAACACCATTGCATAGGACGGTTTATGATTTTTGTAGTTGTTAAAAAATTTGAATGCTTATTTCTTTTCCATAGACAAATGACATAAAGAATTTAGATATCTATAAATTGAAACAGTTATATATTAAAGAATAAGAGACAAAGTTAGGTGAGAAACATAAACGATAGAGGACCAGTAAACGTAAAAATACTAAACAAACAAGGTAGATGGACGCATGCAACGGGATGCATAATGCACGCACGGTGGTTGCAGCAGACAGGAAGGAAGCGCAGCCAACCGCGAAGCCCACGGGCTGCCTCTGAGAGAGGTGCATACGTAATTGCAGGCCACGCGGGAGGCGCTGCTTTCATACCTATCTCTGTCTCTTTCACTCTTCTCTTAGTCTGGCCCCTCCCCTCGCATCCTCCTCGTCCGATCGAGGAAGAAGAGGGTCCGGAGGGCAGTCGCTGTCCTCCTCTTCGTAGTCCTCTCATTCTCTTCGTCGCCGTCGCCGTCACCGTCGCCGTCACCATCACCGTTGCCGTCGCTGTCGCCGTTGCCGTCGCCGTCGCCATCGCCGTCGCCGTCGCCGTCGTTGTCGTAGTTCCAACAGTGTTTCTGTTTGCTGCTGCTGCTTGCTTCTTGCTGCTGCTGCTGCTGCTGCTGCTGCTGCAAAACGTGTGCAACCGGCCGTCCAAACGGCGCCATCTTGCGCAAATGCACACGCCAACCGAAGGCGGAGCCTCTTTCCATTCTCTCTCTCTCTCTCTCTCTCTCTCTCTTCTCTCTCTCTCTCTCTCTCTCTCTCTCTCTCTCTCTTTCTTTCTCTCTCACTTTCGCGAGTTTTGTGCGCTGGCAGATGTGCAGCTCGCGATGCAATTTCACCACGATCAATCTCGGTCCTCCTTGAAAACCGCCTTCCTTCTACTTCTTTTATTTCTTTTTTTGTCCTTTTTTGTTTGCCTGCTTACTTCATTTTTTATTTGCCCTCTTCGTTTTCTTCCGTGCCACGGGAGCAACACAGTAGATTCTTTCTCTTTCTCTCTCTCTCTCTCTCTCTCTCTCTCTCTCTCTCTCTCTCTCTTTCTTTTAGAAATTCTTTTCGCACAGTTCTAGATCTTCCTATATGAACGTTCGATAGAGAATTTTTCTGAAAGGCATTTCAAATCATACGAGAAGACGCATATTTTTCAGCACGAAATTGCAGTATTATTATCGTCATTGAACGCTGCCGCAGTTATTGCTCCGGGGGTACGGGTGCCTTCAGAAAATGAGACGTTATTTTCTCGAGGTATATTTTCGTGCTTCCTGCACATTTGATTTTTTTTTTATATTTTTACGAGGATAACTGGTACGCGTCTAAGTACCATCATACAAAGTTCGATAGAAAATTCTCTTCCGCGTTGCATTCTTATTTTTAGATCTTCCCTTTTTTCTTCTTTTTTTTTTTTTTTTTTTTTTTTTTTCTACATCCTTTGAGTCGAACGAGAAGAAAAGACTTCAGGAAAAACACGAGTTTGCTCGCGAATTTGTTCGTTATCTCATTCCGAGTTAGCTATCCTTTTAAAAGATTTTCATTCCTCGCAAACTCATAGCACGAATTACTTTGCTTATCGCGAAAAGAGGAGGAGGAGGAGGTGGAAGAAGAAGAGGAGGAGGAGGAGAAGGTTAAGCTGGTTGGTTGGTTGGTAGGAAGAAGAAGAGGAGGAGAGGTGTCGAAAAGCAAATGGTCGGGAAAACGAGCCGTCGGTATATACACGAATATACATAGATGTATACATACATACGTACATACATATATACGTACATGTATCTATACACCAGTACGAAAAAGCACGAATCGTCCTTTCAGTACGATGTCGGCTTTGAATCCTCTCGACCCTTTGAGCTCGTTCTCGACGCCTTCAACAAAAGTCCGCGGTCCTCTCTCTCTCTCTCTCTCTCTCTCTCTCTCTCTCTCTCGCTCTCGCTCTCTCTTGCTCTGCTTTACGCTCGAACACGCTCGCTCGAGGCGGCTAATTATTTGGAGTACTGGTCGCTTTGATGTCGGATGCTGACCAAATGGAGATATACACTGACTCGGCTGTAGTATCATTCATAGGACGAGCACGTACTCTCTTTCTCGAGCAGTTTTCAGCATGTGCTTTTAAATGGCACAGAAAACACATTCGAACGTATTCGTTTGTCCTGCGTATAAGTACTTGCTTTGTGCCAAGAGTGCAAGTGGATTATTTTCAGCCAGGTATATTACGACGAGTCATTCGTGAAATCTCTTTCTCTTCTAGCTATGATAATAGTAACATCTAAACGTGTCTCTCTCCTATTGTAGAAAAGATTAAGGGAAAAAGAGTTCATAAACAAAGGGACACTCTATATATATATATATATATATATATATATATATATATATATATTGCGTAGAATTTATTCAATTCTTTTTTTCCTCTACTTCTTTTCTTTTTCTTTTTTTTTTTTTTTCGAAATGTACGTCACGTCGGTCACGTCGAAATATTTTATATATTCTGAAAATAATTGTGAGTTTATTTTATAGTATAGTATATAAAAGAAAGGTAATATAAGTCGAAAGGCGAGCCGATCGTAATTAAGAACAAAGTGAAATCTGCGTTTAATTATCATGCCGATTCGAAATCGGTATACATATAGGTACGTGGTTTAAACGAGAAAGAGGGAGATAGATGGATAAAGAGAGAGAAAGAGAGGGAATCACGTAGCCCAAGCTTTGGTGTTGTTTGCTGCCTTTGCGATTCTCTGACGCCGTGATGACGGCGTTGCCGTCGACGCCACAGACCGTCCTCTTTTTTTGCAATGCTCGCGTGCGTTACTTATTCGTTATCCGCTGCCACGGTTCTCGGCATATAACATGAACTGTGAAACAGAAGGAGAGAGAGAGTCTGCGTTCTTCATGGGCGTGGTTAGCGAAAAAAAAAAAGGGAGTGAAAAAGGTTGAACGTCGGGAAACATTGGCACGAAGCGATGCACCATAATTTTTATTATTCTCTTCTTTATTTTTTTTTTCTTTTTTTTTTTTTTTACTATTTTTTGTTGCAGTTATCAATCGTACGATCGTAAACCGATTTCATATTCGAGCGGGTATTGTGCTAGGATACCGCATATAACCAATGAAAATCGTAAAATCGTTCTCCCATTAAATTTCGGAGCGAACACATCGAACGGGGGGTATGCTATTTCAAAGCTGCATAAAAAACCGATTGCCACAATACAAAAAGAGAGGAAAAAACACGAAAAAATGAGAGAAAGAGAGAGAGAGGAAAAAATCCGCGTATAAGTGATGCCCACGTTCGTTCGACGCCATCTTGATTTCCATGGTACGAGCTCGCTCGTTCGCGCGCGCGTCCGCGCTCACACACAGTTTCCACGGCGGGCCGATTATATCCATGGATTTTTCATGAATATTCATGGCCGGACTATACTCGCGACGGCCGTTTCCGTGGCGCGTTATAACCGCCTAGTTATTATCCAGAAATCGTTGGATCGAATCGCTCGCAGCTCCGGCGTTGCTGGACATCGCTTATGTACGCGTTCGGTCAACGATAATATTTGACTGCCGTCAATATCGAGTAGTATAAGAAAATGATAGGAACGAGACGTCAACGACGACGAATTGTTTTCAATCGATTTCACAACGATCGCGAGCTTCTCGCGTACGTGGCTTTTTATTACCTAGCAATGCGAACATTTTATCAAGAGAAAGAGAGATAGAGAGAGAAAGAGAGAGAGAGAGAGAGAGAGAGAGAAACAAGAGAGCCAAAGAGAAAAAAAGGTGCTCGTTCAAAGCGGTCGCAGTGGAAAAGCGGCGCCATATTCGATCGACGACCCGTTTCCATCATAATGTTGTTGAGAATCAACACCAAAGGAAATTTCTTCGAGTCTTCGTGTTACCTAAACGAGACTAGTTCTCTCGGACGGTTCGTTCCCTCTCTCTTTTTTCTCATAGATCATTTCTCTATTTCTCTTTCGTTTCTCTATTTCTCTTTCGTTTTCACACAGGCATATGTAGTAAGTAAGGTTGTAGGTACTATTACTTACCTAGACGACGTTTATTGCCGGCGCACGATGCCAACTTTTTCCCACATGGATTTTATCACACTCCTCGCGACGACACGTCTATGATTAAACGTTGATCGATGATTCCTAATTACTTTCTTACTTTAAGAAAAGATCTTTTTAGAGAAGATCTCTAGAGATACCAGACGCGAGAGATCATTTCTTATCTATGTATATATATATATATATATATATATATATATATATATATATATATTTATATTGTTTAAATGAAAATAAATGAAGCTTTGCATTTTGAATTTTGTGAAAACAGATCTAGGTAATGTCATTCGATCGCTTACTCGGCTGAGTTTACCACCCCATCGGTGGCCATCTTTGGATGGATCGGCGGCTAGAGGGCGGATGGGGAGGGGGGAGGGGTGGGAGTGGGGGTTAAATCGAACCGAGTCGACGAAAATATCGTCGAGATAACGGGCCGAGAGTTATATTTGCTGTGGAAAAAGAAAGAAAGCAAGAAAGAAAGAATGAAAGAAATAAGGGGAGGATGGTCAAAAAAGTTTCGTGAAACGCCGTAAAAAGGTTCGTGGCATGAAGGAGCGACAGAAAGAGAGAGAAAGAGAGAGAAAGAGAGAAGGGTGGAATGGAGGGAGAAGGGCGGAGCGGTATAGAGCGATAAATATCGCTCGGTATGGAAGTTTTTATTGCGTCGAGAGTGCGAACTGCTCCCTCTGTCTGCTCATTTTTCGCGCCACCTCCTCCTATCTCCTTCTTTTTCTCTGTCTCCATCTCCCTCCCTTCTCCCCCCCCCCCCCACCTCCTCTTCCTCCTCCTCCTTCTTCCTCTTTCTGCCTCATCCTTCTTTTCGCACTCTTCCCCGTCGACGCGTTTTTTCGCTGAAAAGGAAGGAAAGGCCAACGAACTCGTCCTCATCGTAAATCGTTGACCCACTGTGTGTGCTCGGCGTTCGGACAACCGAGGCTCGCATAATCGAACGAATTTCATGGATTTTGCTATACATACTAGGATGTAGGTACCTACTTGTTGGAAATTTCACGATTAGCGAATCAATTAAGCGTTACCCATAGAGATAGCATGTTTTTCCGATGTATTCGATGTCCGATGAACACCACCAGCAGTGCGAGAGCGAGAGCGAGAGCGTGAGAGAGAGAGAGAGAGAGAGAGAGAGAGAGAGAGAAAGAGAGGAGTAGAGGAGCAGGTTGCAGCTGCAAAAGTTATCGTTCGCGATTAATATTTTGGAGAGTGAGTCCTATAGCCTGTTTACTTTTCATCCTCGTTCACCGCTGCTATAATGCAGTAGATCCAATTACAAGCGGTACATCGCTGGGCTCCGATTAATTGCACGACGCTGCAGCTGCCGCTGCTCGTTTCCCCCTTTACTGGCGTTGCCTCTTTGATGCATCGCAACGTTGCATCTGTAATTTCTCCTTGCGTTCGGATCAGAGTTACTACGCGACTGTTCTAATAGACGGAAGTTGTCCTCTTCGTTCGATTGATGATGAATCATTCAAAAAATTTCAAGAAAAAATAATAATAGAGAGGAAGAAGATATTTTTTTATATCTTTTTTCTTTCTTTCTTTCTTTCTTTCTTTCTTTTTTCCTTTGAAATAGACAAATGATGAAAATCGTAATGGCATTATGGAGACACGATAAATCGGCAGGGAATAGACGGTAGCACCATGGTGGAGGGCTTAAAGCTTAAATTAATGCCTATAATTCAATGGGAATCGAGGGCATCGAAGAGAGAGAGAGAGAGAGAGAGAGAGAGAGAGAGAGAGAGAGAGAGAAAAAGAGACGGAGGAGTAGTAGTAGTTGGGAACGGAGCTTGGCAAAACAGTCTCGCGTTATCAGCGTATGCCGTGAAGGTGGCGGAGCAGTACCGGCAAGTTCCACTCGATATATCGATCGTATGCTTCGTCGGCCAACTTCATCCGCCGTAAGCACGTAGGGAATGTATGCACGCGAAGCTTTCGTGCGAGCATCCTGACTTCTACCTTTCGAATTTCCTCCCTTCACGATGAATTCGACCGAGCACACGTGAGAGGGGTGTTAATGACTTTTCTATCGGGGATGGAAATCTATCGTGACAAAACTGAATGGATTTCTTTTTTCTTTCTTAAATAGCATGCTTTTTGTATGACACATGTTCTTCGTTACCGTTCATGCCGTACGAAAATATGAATATTTATAGGGTGGCTGAGAATAGTTGACATTGGTAATTACTTTGTACGATCCATTAATAAGAATGATCGAACATGGTAATATAGGAAAGTTAAGTAAATGTTAAATATATTATAGGATATAACAGTAAGAGACACTATAAAAGGCATACATACGTGAACATACTTAGTTAAACGCAATATCGATAGATCACACCTGACGTACTAGACAACAACTACACAGAGAATTCGTGTTAGGTCGTGAAGGTATCACCGATCGCTAGGTACAAGATAAAACGCGAGTCTCTTCGATGATAATAAGATAAGATACAGGAGAGAAGTCTCTTTTTTTCTTCCCCTCTCTCCCTCTCTCTATCTTTCTGTTCTGAAAGTGTATTATATACTCCAACTACTATACCAACTAATAAAATTCCTGTTCGTAGTAAGAGAGAAAGAGAGAAAGGCCATAGTAAGTAGAGTTGGTAGCATCGACGAAGAATCGTCGTCGTCGTCGTCGTGGTCGTCTTTGTCGTTCGTTGGCTTCCTCCCGCGACGAAGCGGTTGCTAATGAAGAGCTAATTACGCGAGCGAGCCGCGACTCGCATAGAGCTTTATCGCATATAAGGCGAGACGCGATGCCACGTATAACTTGGCTTTCTATAAGAGGAGAGAGAGAGAGAGAGAGAGAGAGAGAGAGAGAGAGAGAGAAGGAAGAGACCCCCGTAATAACAGCAGTAAGCGGGCCTCGCACTTAATTAAGACGTCTCTTGCAATTAGGTACTTTTACGATCGGCGTAAAACTCGATCATTCAGCGCACGTACGAATCAACTATCTTATTTCTTTTTCTCTTTCTATATTACGGATTATCAGCGATCGTTCCGTTCCGGCTTTTCATTTCCAGACAATCTATTATTTTCTCTCTTTCTTTCTCCTTCCATCTTTATCCATCTCAATTCTGACTCTCGTTCGTTTCGTTGAGGAGCCTAACGGTTGCAACATTCGTTGTTACAGCGAGAATGTCGAGCAGCGGCGTGACGAGCGGTCCGGTGAGCCAAGTCTGTCGGCCACATTTTCACAGTTCTGTACTACATCCCTGGTTATCCGGGAGCGGGGCGGACACGTCTAAAACGCCATGGGGTTTTCCAACGACAACGGCATCGACCGGTGGAACAGTGAGCGACGACAAGCCGCAGAGTCCATTGGGTTCCTCTCTACCACCCACCACGGGGAGTTTATCGAGTCACGGGGCAGGTGGTGGAGCGCATCATCTTTTCTCGTTTCCCCCAACGCCACCAAAGGACGCCACGCCGGACAGTATAACGGCGAGTACGACTTCTAGCTCGAACAACAATACGACGAACAACAGTGGGAGCGGGAGCAATGGCAATAACAACGGAAGCGCAGCGAACTCTTTATCCGGATTAGGAGGTGGTGGTAGCAGCGAGTATCAAGCAGCTGTGGCACATGCAGCGGTGATGGGTGCGTTTATGCATCATCAAGACGCGTTGGGAGCTAGCGGTGCGGGCAATTGCGACGTGAAACCTACGGTGATGTTGGGACATCATCACGGGGCACCTTCGCCGCCTCATCAGCAGCACGGTGGGAACGCGGGGAACAACGGAGGTAGCAGCAACAACTCGGCGGCCAGTTCGGGACAGGTGAAACAACGCGAAGGTAATAACCAATCGGGGAGCAGCCAGCAAGCGAACGGTGGTCAACAGCAGCAACAGCAGGCGCAGCAGCAGCAGCAGGACGCGTATCAGAGCAACACCGGGGGCAGCTCGCCCTGCGGCAGGGACAGCTATGCCGCCGCCGCTGCGGCCGCTGCGGCAGCCGCGGTCGCCGCAGCCGCCGTCTCCAACAGTCACCACGTGGCAGCAGCCTCGGCCTCGGCCCAATATGACCCGGCGACGAGTGCCTACAACATGTATCAACATTTGCAGTACCCCAATGCTGCCCACCACCATCACCATCATCATCATCATCATTTGACTGGTGGTGGGGGTGCTGGGGGAGGCGGCGGCTCCGGCGGCACGGCCACGTCCTCCTCCTCGTCGTCCTCCGCGTCGTCCCACAATCCGCACAACAACAACAACAACAACAACAACAACAACAATAACAACAACAACAACAACGGCAACTCCGGCACGACGGTCGGCGCTCTTTTTGCCGCGGCGGCGCATCACGGCGCCGGTAACGCCAATTCCGGTGTCCCCGGCGTCGTGAGCCCTGCCGATTCGAAGCTCCTTTCGGCTCACGCGAGCAACGCGCACGCCAACAATCCGGGCTCACCCGGCGCGCATCAGCATCATCAGCAAAAGCCCAGGAACAAGTCGAGGACGTCCGCCGGTAAGCGGCACGCCTTGCCCGCGCCTTTTCTCTTCTGTTCTTTTCTTCTCTTTTCTTTTTTTTCGTTTCTTTTCTTTTCTTTTCTTTTCTTTTCTTTTCTTTTCTTTTCTATTAACAATATTTTTAATTTAACCCCAAACCCTCTTCCCTAGGATATTATCGTCTTTATCGATTTACCGCTAGGAAGGAGGGTCTTTGTTTGTGCTTTGATTTGACTTTTCTTTTTCTTTTTTTCTTTTTTTTCTCTTTTTTCTCTTTTTTGTTGTTTGTTTTGTCTTTACGGTTTGACTTGCTTTTGGTGGCGGTCATCTTATCACTTATTCGCTCTTTTATTTATCCTTTCTTTACGCGTAAGCATTTGAGTTTCCTTCTTCTTTCTTTAACTTCTCTTTTCCTTTTTTATATTTCGTCAAGAACCGGCAATATCGCCGGGAGAGGGAGAGACGCAGTGATACACACAACTGTTTTTGTATTTTGTCCGTAATTCACCGATCTGTTTTTTGAGTGGCACACACCAAGCGAACAAGCGTAATCGTCGAAGAGCACCACCCACGATACCACTGGTTTTCAACGTGTGACACGTAAACACACACATATGTGAACACCCTCATCCGCCGCATACTTATTATATATCTATACGGGGGTTGTATCGGAAAAGAGGAAAGAAAAAAAGAAACAAAAAAAGAAAAAAAGAAAAAAAGAAAGGAACGAACACGCGCGAGCGAGCACAGATTTTTTTCGATGTGGTGTGGCTATCGCTACGTTTTTGGTTTTGTTTTTTTTCTCTCTCTTTTTTTTTTTTTTTCTGTCACAGCAATCTCCCCCTCTCGAAGAGTCGTCTCCATGGGCTCTCAACGACACTCGTGTCTTTCGTTTGTCTGTGTTTTTTTTTTTTTTTTCGTTCATTTTATTTTCATTTCACCATCTTTTTTTCGTTCGATCATAATGAACTGGCAGCAGACGGTCAAGCGTCGCTGAATTTTCAACGCGCATTTATATACATACATACTTACTTACTTACCTTTTCTCTTTATTATTTCGATGCGTTGTTTGTCGGAGACTTCTCCAACCCCTCGACAATACTCAAGGAAAACGAAATAAATGCGTTGGTGAATGCTAAGAGAAAGAAGGAGGGAGAGCCAGCGAGCGACCGAGCGAGCGACCGAGAGAAAGAGAGAGAGAGAAAGAGAGAAGAAGGGGAGTAATGAGAATGAGACGGCTGAAAAATGCCGGATACGCTGATTGCGGTAATAGCCGGTCTCTACCGACGGCGTGGTAAAAATCCTAATTCCGGGAACAATGGTTCGACTTCGCGCCGTGGAAGCCCGCTAATTAAATCGACTTACGACACATGCACACACGGCTCGACTTCGTTGCCGCAGGCAGCCTCGAAAGTCGTCGCTAAGAAAAGAAGAAGAAGAAGTAAAAGAAGAAAAAGTGAAAGAAGAAAAAGAAGAAGTAGAAGGAGGAGGATACGGATTGGATATACCAACTCGATCGCGGAAAAACTTGGAATCGAGAGAAGTAGAGGAGGAGCTCTAATAAACGTCACTGGCGAATTAATTGGAAAGATCGCGACGGTTGATTATATTTATGTACTGTGACACGCGACCAACGCACGGATGAGATTTACGAAATCGTAATTTTTTTTTTTTATCTCGTTCGTTTGAAAAGCAATATTCATTTTTTTCTCGAATTTTTCTTTTCTTTTGTTCTTTTTTTTTTTTTTTTTTTAATTATTTTCTTTTTTTTTTTTTTTTTTTTTTTCTTTCGAATCTTTTCTCCTGAGAAAGACGTGACGAGGGAGAACGTAAAAGTAGTAACGTAGGCTCTGCTTTGAATTACTTTTCGATCATAACCGTAAGGAAAAATTCGGCTTTCGATGATGAGAAAAGGATGATAATCGTAGCTCGTTATCACCCTCGAATATCTGTTCTCGACGATAAAACCGAAATCGAATTAAGCGAGTTTGCAGCATATAAGGTTGCCTTGCCCTGCCCTACCGCCTCGCGGTCCTTCCAATTAGTTTCCGAATCGAACTTATCCAATCCGAAGGGCAATTAGGAACGCGTTAAAGCCGGTTATGACGTTAGCGATCCGGTTAAATAAGACAGAAGAAGATCTTTATTTGTGCGATCGATTCTTATGAAGTCATGAAATTGATGACGTACTCTCTCTACGAGCATCATCAGCAGATGATCTAATTAGGCCGAACAACATCATTCGAAGAGATTGCTGAATTCGAAGGAGTCACCGACCGTTCGTTCGTCCGTTCGTTTACACACTTTTCCAATACTCCTCTTCGTTATATCCTAATTTCCTTTATAAGAAAAAAGCAAAAAAGAAAAAAAAAAAAAAACAAAAGTTATTATTAACGTCCAAGACGGACGGGGAGGAACACGCGGTTGCACGACCCTCTCTATATTTTTTTCTTCTTTTCTCTCTTTTATATAATTCTTCGTCTATGTAGTATGTCTAAGTACTTTTTTCTAATACCTTTTATCTCTATCCTTAATTAAAATGAGGAATCTCTCGACATATAATTAATCTCCAACAAATCATCCGTGCTTTCAAAATATGACTATGCTTCTGCTCTGATAATTGCATGATATCAAATGTTTTGCAAATTGCATGAACTATCTTCTATATACATATATATGTGTATATATATATATATATATATATATATATATTTTTTTTTTCTCTAAAGTGCATAAATTCTTTACAACAGAATATACCTTTTGCAAATGTTTCTTTTTCTCTCTCTTACTCTCTCTCTTTTCTTCTCTTGTTTCGTCTTTTTCTAAAAATCTTTCTCAAGAGAATTCATGCACGAATCCAATGCTTTTTCGATCGTATCTGATCGTTCGAAATGAAACGAAACAACGATCAGAAATATTGTTATTCGTATGAATCACGTTGATCGAACGATCATCTACGATCATAGTTTCTGCGTATAGATATTATTTCTGTGTATATAATTTAGTTGTTATCGTCGATATATCAGGAAGGAGGATAAGGTACTAATTTGATTTTTCTTTTGTCCCTCCCCCATTCAACCTCGGGATGAAAATGAACGCGTGCGCGCATACGTAGAGGGTCGTGAGTGCGTTAATTGCGGTGCGACTTCGACGCCTCTGTGGAGACGAGACGGTACCGGACATTACCTCTGCAATGCTTGTGGACTTTACTACAAGATGAACGGCCAGAATCGACCGCTCATCAAACCCAAGCGCCGCCTTGTAAGTACCTAAGCTTTCTTACATTTCCATCGTTATTTCTTTTTTTCTTGTTATTCCTGTTTGTATTTTTTTTATGACTCTCAAACACGTATATATATATATTTTTTTTCTTTTCTTATGAAATATCGCGACGAATTTTCTCAATCTAATCTAACATATTTGAGATCCGTGTCGTTTTTGAACATGGCAAGAACGTTCGAGCGAAATTTATTAAAATTTAATTGAATATTTTTCTTACATTTGGCGAACAGAAAGAGAGAGAGAGAGAGAGAGAGAGAGAGAGAGAGAGAGAAACTAAACTAAACTACTATTAGTAGACATATAAATACTAACTACATACTACTACTGGTTCGCACTTTAAGTGATCACCGATGCGTTTCATAAGAACGACCATTCTACACCCGTCGAACGTTCCATATTCGTAAAGGCGAGTCCTTGAAACCTTTCCTTCGTGCACTCCACGCTCGGACATACTTAATTAACGCTAGCGTTGGACAAACTTGAGTTTCTATCTCTCACTCTCTTTCTTTCTCTTTCTCAGTCTAGTCGTATACCGATGTAGTCATCAGAATGCAAGATAAGACAAGGCCAAGTTAATTTCCTGTATACAACGATTATAATATCGTGCCGTCCTCTCTCTCTCTCTCTCTCTCTCTCTCTCTCGACGATTAGCAAATATCGCGCGGCATTTTTGAGAATGAATACTTACCATCCGTCTTCTTCCCGGTCTTCGCTATTAAATTAACGAAGCAATTAGCGAAAGGAAACATCGACGATGTATTCTTTCAATTACACGCTGTTTCTTCTTGCCGTTTACGCGAGGGGAAGAAACCTACTTTTACGTCGTGTACTACGTTTGTGTTCTTTCCATTTATTTACATAAGCTTACAAAAGGAGAGGGAAGGAGAGGAAGGAGGAATGAAGGGGAGAGAAAGGGGGGAGGGGGGGAGGGAAAGGAAAGCACCGGGCCTTCTTCATATTCGTAAACGTACAATTAAATTAATCGTACATCAAATTTTAATTAACAATCATATTTATTAATAGCCGAAGTAATTATTTAGTCTATTTAATATTTATTGATAATATCAATTCAATGGAGATTGATATTCCAGTTTGAACACGATGTATTAAAGTTAAAAAAAAAAAAAAAGAAAAAAGTAAGAAAAGAACGAAGGGAATTAGAATAGGCGTTAGAACGTGAATATATTCCGATCGATAGTCTAGAGGCTACCCCGAAGCTCGAGGAGAGACCAAAAGGTTTCGTGCCCTATCGGTTCTTACTTACGATTCCCGCGAATTCGATCTATTTTTGGCGATTAGACTGGCACCTTCCGTAAAATGGAATAACGGAAACATGATACCACCACCAGCAACAGCAGCCCTTACTTACAATCTTCCCTTCGTCCCCCTAACTATGTGATACGTGGTTTGAAAATATCGTGACTCCTTCGAGGAGACTTCGTCACGGAAGGACGCTCAAACTCACTCCTTTCTTTATAGTTCGAGTTTTTTTCCCCTCCCCCCCCTTTCTTTTTTTCTTTGCCTTTCATTCTAATCAACATTTTTCTCTTCCTTTCTTTCTTTCTTTCTTTCTTTCTTTCTTTCTTTCTTTCTTTCTTTTTTTCTTTCTTTCGTGTTTGTTAGAAATGTAAAGAACAATCCCATTTGTAATGTTAGAAGATATATATCCCATTCTCTGGGCTGTTGTTGGTCGGCATTGTTGTAATGTTTTTATGATTAAAAGAGGAACGATCAGAATCGGATTCACTTGCTTTAGTAGACGAGAATGAAAATAAGGCGTTCTCATCGAGCGATTCCTTTTCCATCTGGCCGCGTCGCATTCTGACGTTTCACTATCGCTTTCGGTCGACAGCGCGAAACTTTCTCTTGAGCGAAATAGACGCATCGCGATCTTGATCAAATGCGCTTGAAGATGAATCGAAAATATATCTTTCTTTCTTTCTTTCTTTCTTTCTTTCTTTCTTTCTTTCTTTCTTTCTTTCTTTCTTTTTTTTTTTTTTTTTCCTTCGTCTCCTTTCGCTAATTCCCTATCAGCATATAAATATAAATAAATGTCCGTCGTTAATTGGTATAATATAACGGCGAGTACACGCGATGTAAATTCATTTTCGCCGTCTGTGAAAAAAGAATAAAAAGAAGGAGAAAAAAAAAGAGGTTTTTATCGTCTAGTCGCACGCGTTTACCAGATAAGTACTAGATATTCTACACACTGTATGTATTATACATCGCGAATCTTATAGCGCGATATTACGCCGAGGGAAAAGCGTGCGTCCATTGCTTTTGCTCGTTTCTTTTGCCCAGACGAAGGTTCGTCGAACGATAATTGACGGCGTTTTGGTTTAATTGATGCATTTACACGCGTCGAATAGGAGGAGGAAGAAGAAGAGGAGAGTACGGTTGACACGGCCCAGTGGAAAATTCAACGTGCGTGTTTGTTTCTCGTAAAGAATTTATTCGATTCGTTCGAGAGAGTTTTCAAAGACCAACACCATCATATATATATATATATATATATTTACATATATATATATATATGTGTGTGTGTGTGTGTGTGTGTGTTATAGTTAGCTGAATAATTTTTTCGATTATATCAAAAAAATATAGTTTGAAGTAATTGTTAATATTTTTATAACATAATACGTCACGGTGTATTCATTGAAACGTTTCTCAACGATGTCGCAAAAAATGAAATAAATCATGTGGTCAAACGATAAGCTAATATATTCGATACAAGATAATCGTAAATCTTTTTTTTTTTTTTTTATTCACGAAACGAAAGCTAAGATCATTATTTTATTTCATTCGGGTCGGAATAAACATTCTCTAATCCTCCCGCGACAAGGACAAACATTGTGACAGGATGACGAGGAGACACGCCTACCTATCAGTCATTTATCAATACCGATCGCGACAAGGGGAGCACAGCGCGCTAAGGCAATGCGAGCTAATAAAATATGTATCGGTTTAAAGTGGTAGGCGTCCCTTATCGTGAGCACGTGTGCGACACTTTCGCCGTGCTCTGTAATTTTCTTCGAGGCGATCGAGCGAGTCAGCTTTATATTTTTTTTTCTTTTCTTGTTTTTTTTTTCTTTTTTTTTTTTTTTCTTTTCTTCTTTCGACCATTTATTTCGAGCTGATGGTAAGCTCGTTTCCCCAACGGCGACGAAATTAAAAATTTATTTGATAGAAAGAAAACCACTTTTGATCGATTGTTTCTCCCATCGTTAGGAATATTATTTGTTGTGTTATCTAGTCAAAAATGGAAAAATAATTTTGCGTACATTCGTTTCTCTTTTTTCATAATACCTTGGAAAAAAATACACGCACGCGCATATATATATATATATATATACATATAAATATATTTGTCGTTACGTTTCCTCGTCTAATATCATCGAAAAGATAACGCGCGTAGAGAATAACAATGTTCCCTCATAAGGGTCTTCCCTTGTAGTATACTTTTCGCGCAATATGTTGCATTTTTACGAGACCATGCATGGGTACTGCTCGCAGATGCGTGTCGTCTAAAAAGTAGAAAGAGAGTCCGGAGTTGATACGATCTCGGAAACAAAAGTGAAAGAGGGATGGAGTTGTAGGGGAACACACCAGGTATATATACCTCCTATGGATATATATATATATACACACACACAGTCGTATAGACATATATATATATATATATATATATATATGTATACATATAAAGCAGAGCCCACCTTTCGCGTATTTTATATAAAGTCTCGACGCACAGAGAGAAAGAAAGAGAGAACACGTACACAGATGCGACAGAATTTTTGTGAAGGTGTGGCGTCCCGACGACGAAGCCCCAGATAGTAAGGGTTGAAATACCCCGTCCATCCAACAGCCATAGCCGCCATTTTTGATTCATCATCGAGATAACCCGAACAGCTGGGAAATTTTCCTTTCTTTTTTTCTCTCATTCTCTCTCTCTCTCTCTTCCTTTTTTTCTTTTTTCTTTGCTTTCCTCTACTCTTTTTCGTTCTCTCATACGAAGAGGGTAGCTACCCGTTTAGAAGCAGCGAGTTCAGGAATGCGTGTAGCTACATACGCGTGGTCGTTGGATATATTTCTACCCTCTTGTCCTCGAAATGGCGAGGAGACAGCGAAATGGCGTCGTTCGTTCCGAGCTTAGCCCCGCTCCGCTCCAGAGACCGACTGGAACGCAAGAGGAACGCCCGTTACTTTTCTTTTCGCGATCTTTCGTTTTCTCGTGAGTTTTAAATACTTTGTTAAATCGCCCGGTAACGTCATGTATTACAGTCTTAGAATCACTAGTTAAACGTATACTTACTTTGTTGCACATAATTATTCACGATTTAAAAGATTACGATCATTATCGTTATGCGATAGGAATATGGATAATGAGAGAGAGAGAGAGAGAGAGAGAGAGAGAGAGAGAGAGAGAGAAAAAGAAAAAAAAATACAAGAAAATTCAACAACAGATTAAACACGTTGATTATTTTATGGAAAATCGTGAGAACATTCGACTAACGATATGGCGGAAATATTAGTATGTAGACAGGAAGAGGGAGAAGAGGAGACGAGAAAAAGAAAAAAAGAACCTAAGAAGAGAAACATTGAATGGAAGATTATCGAGAGATATGAAAAATCATTAATCTTAATGCACGTCCAGAACTCGTGAAGGATCGGAGAGTTTAATCATAGAAAGACAGAGAGACAGAGAAAAAAGAAAAAGGAAGAAAACAAAAAGAGAAAGAAAAAGCAGAAAGAAAAAAGTAAAAAGTAGAAAAGAGAAGGACAAAAAATGAGTTTGAAAGAGACTTTGGATTATCAGAAGAAAGAGATCGGATCGTTAGGATCGACGCGCATCTGGTGGATCGGATCATCGATCTATTTCTCTAAGGTAGAGAGATCCTTAAAGGATCGCTGGGCCAAGGGCTTCGTTCTCTCTCTCTCTCTCTCTCTCTCTCTCTCTCTCTCTATCTCTATCTCTCTCC